ACAAGTATAGCCACACTTTTTTCTTTTCCCCTGCAGAAACTTACTTCCTGCCGTTACTGCCGTTCCTATATTTTTTTTTAGTTATGTACCGATGTCTCCTGTGTATAACTTTTTGGAACCCATCTGAGTCACTATCACTGTTTTCCTCAGTTATTTTATGTTTTTTTATTTGCTCATTAACCTCAGTTAAATACTACGTCCAATCTAAACCTACCAGAAGAGATTAACCAATACTTTATGAATATAGCAGATATTATATCGAAATCAATAGGAAACTCTGAGCATGACATAAACTACTATGTTAACAAGCTACCTAGAAGGTCGAGTTCATTCTTTATGGCCCCCCCAATAGCATCTGATGTAAAAGAATGCATACATAAATTGAAAAATTTCTCATGTGTCAATTACTATGGTTATAACAGTAAAATTATTAAGGCGTCTCTAGATATTAAAAAAAAGATAATAAAAATAAAAAAAAACTTCTTTGGAGATGTTGTGCTACAGGAGAATCCACAGAATATTGTGGACTGAAAAAAGTAACTAGTATAGAGATGTTACAAAGAATGAAGAAAGAAAGTGAAGTCATAAAAACTGTTAAAATTAGAAAAATTCAATATCTGGGTCATATAATGAGGGGCGAGAAGTACATATTAATTAGGTTAATTATGCAAGGGAAGATACAAGGGAAGAGAAACCCAAGACGACGCGAAATATCCTGGCTAAGCAATTTGAGAGAGTGGTTCGGTTGCAGCTCATTAGAATTATTCAGAAGCGCGGAAAATAAAATTAAAATAGCGATGATGATTTCCAACCTCCGATAGGAGAAGGAACCTGAAGAAGAAGATATAATTATTGAACCACTCACAATAATATTTAACAAATCTATTAACGAGGGTTACTGGCCTGATGTATTCAAACTATCAAAAGTAATTACACTTCATAAAAAAGGAAATAAAAATGCTCCAGATAATTACAGACCTATTACCATAGTACCAATAATAAGTAAAATTTTTGAAATCTTAATTAAATATCATATACCAAATTATTTGGATAACAAATCAATTATATCTAGCTCTCAATTTGGTTTTAGAAAAAAATACTCAACAACTAAAGCTTTATTAGAAGTAATAGAACATATTGTTTACAGTCTTGATGTAGGTGAACCTACTAATGGATTAATGTGTGACCTTACAAAAGCTTTTGTAAGTTTAAAACAATATCTTACCGGAAGAACACAGATTGTTTCATTTAATAATCAAGAATCTAATCCTATACCGGTTTCAACTGGAGTACCACAAGAATCAGTCTTGGGACCTCTGCTATTCTTGATATATATAAATTATTTACCAAGTGCGTTGGAAAACACCAACTGTGTTCTTTTTGTAGATGAGACAATCTTATTATGTAGAGGTAAAACTGATTACAGTCAGGAAATATTAGAAAAATCTAAATCTAAGTAAAGTTACTATACCTCATTTCATTAAATGCAGGGCACATAAACAACGATAAATTTAACAGATAATTGTTAAAGATGTTCCAAATGAGTCTACTCGTTCCGATAAGTAACAGTATAATTATGACACTTTATTATTTTTTTTTCTTTTCTCAAATATTCGTGTTTATTGCATAGTAAATAAATGAATGTTATCACTGAATACATAGTAAGTGGAAAAATAATCCGATTTATAAAATTAATGAATATTTTATGCATAAATGCAAGTAACAGTTCTTCAAAAATATTTAAAAACTAACCGAAATGTCCATCTTTATTTCGTCTGCCGAAGTTGTCAGCAGCTCATACCGGTTCAGACACGATTTAATGTTTACATCTTCCTGCATCGCTTAATGAATTTTACTATAGGTGTTACTATGGATACAAAGTCGAACTGGTCGCACCATATTGAAGGATTGTGTACGAAGCTCGCCTCACAGATTTTTGCCATGCGCAGATTGGCTATTTCTGTGAGTCGAGATATTCTTAGGTCAGTTTATTTTTGAATGGTTCATAGTATCCTGATATAATGCATGATTTTTTGGGAAAACTGTTCATAATAATATACAAGATATAAAAGCACATGCTGATCAACATCAGTACAATACAAGAAACAAAAGTCACATCAATATACCATATTCCAGATTGTGTGTTACACAACTTAATACAATAGATTATAATCTGTATAATTGTTATTTAAATTTATCTATCTATAACATGTATAGCTATGTACTTTCTTTTCAGACAGGGAGGTGTAAATGCAACATGCTGCTGGCGTCCATGCACATATCAGCAACACTTTATGGTTCTTCAAACGGAGATTCTTTCAGAAGAGCACATTATACTGACCAAAAATATTAAAACAGTAATAAATTACAGGAACAGCCTGCGTCCTTATCCTACAGCCTTATTAAATTGAGTTATTTAAAAATTCATTTTATGTAAACTTATTAAGGCAACACATTGTATACTGATGATATACCATGTAAGAAATAATAAAGTAAATACAGTGTTACGAACTTACCAAATATGTTTCAATCCCAGGCATATTCTGAAAATATTTGATTAGTGTAGACTTTCCTGCTCCAATATTACCTTCTACAGACACTCTGAAAGGTCTATCCACAGGTGTTTTGACATTTGTCAATTCCCTCATGGGTGAAATCCCAACAAAACTCGTCTTTTTGTTAGGTGAGGGATCTATGCTTGCAGCTGGTCTTTTCTGTCCACCCATAGTTGTTATTACACCTTCCATCTTGATTAAATTCAAACTAAAATAAATAATAGTGTTAAAGATTTGTGAATTGTACTTTTAAAAGTGTTTTGGATACAGATTTTTATAATGAATAAATGTAAGTTAAAGGGTAGCAGATGAGTTAGTGGTCAAAAGTTGCTCCCCCATTGGAATTTGCGCATCAACGTCTCAACTGAAATTATGTCATCAACATAAACGTTAAGTTTACTTATAAATCTCAGTTTTGCATGCATTTGTGGGATGATAGGTAGCGTGTTTGGAGGCGAACAGGTGAAAGATTTATAAATGTGCTTTTGGCACCCATCTTATGAAAGGTACATTATTCTTTTTTTAGTTGACTACTTTGCCCATTATTCATTCTATATAAGCAATGGCGTTATCACTAATTTCAGTTAAAACAGACACTAAATTGGCCAGCACCTAGGTGTTGTAGGAATGTAAGAAGTTGGGAAATACCACCTACAAACAAAAACACATTTTGTGTTATGCTTATTGAAAAGTGGAATAACATGACCAAGGAGTATAATGTAAAATCTATTCCTGATAATATTGAATATTTTTAAAAAATTAAAAAACATGCAAAGATAACACAAAACATACTGTATTCAATAATTCATAACTTTGAAGTGAACCGAGATGTCAAAATAAATGAAAATCATTTTGTGGAGAATGAACCAAATTGGCATACAGGATAATTTTGATTCACAAACAAAAGCTGTATTTCAGGGTGCTTTAAACTTAGTTGACATAAACACAATTTGATTTTTCCTCATAGAATGTGTATAAATCTGGCGTTATCAGAAAATATGAATGATGAGAATTAAACTGGGACAAATCTCCTTCTACTTGTCCAAAAATGTTCAAAATTGGGTCATAAATAAAAAGTTATTTAAGATTCTCTCTTAAGATGAAGTTTTCTCTATAGGAATTGCTTACTTTGTGCCATTGAAGAAATGTAGAACTTCAACTTTTCCCAAGTGATTCTCTGCTGATTGCTGATCTTAGAAGATTGATTGACTCTTCTAAGATTTAGATCTAGTTTTATAAATAAATATTAGATTTCTGCTAAATATCTAGAGGTGTTTTAATAAGAAAAAAAAATATTATCAACTGTTTTCTTTTGTTTGTGCCTACTACTAAAGACTTCAAAATTTGGCAAGTTTCTTAGTTAAGTAACTGAGGAAAATAAGGAAGACACAGTATCTGAGAGATGTAGAGCAGCACCTTGATGAATTCCCTTTATGGTATGTAATTTATTATGAAACTCTTCTAAGTTGGTAGAAGTTCTGTCAAATAAAGTGAGAGAAGACAAAAAGGATATTTACTAATTCAAAATGTAGGATATGGATTCTAAAATTGCATAACAATCTTACTATTTGGCATTGAATTGTAGAAACATATCAATTTTATTTACTATATTATAACTTATATTAATTTAAACTCAAAATTTGACCAAAAATAAACTTTGTTATCAGGAATTTAGCAAAAATGTCAATTTTAACCTGTACCCTACATACATAAGTATTGTTTTGTTTTTATATAGTTATTATTTCCCATTTTGTTTGCTAGCTTTCAGCTAAGCACCTTTGAATTAGATAAATAACAGTTGATACAATCCTTCAAAAATATATCACTAAAGTACAGAAAATCCAGCTTTCATTTCAAATTCTGACAGATAAAAATAAACATTAGTTAGTGCAACTTAAAAAATCTAAATTGAGTAAGAATAAAGAGGACAAATTTAATTACTCGATGATACATCTGGTTTTGCAACTTTCATATTTGAATATCTCATTACAATATTATGTTAATCTCCAAATCCGGCACTGTACAGTATTGATTGTTGTGAACTATCCTCAAGATTGACATTTTAATCTGATTGTGTTTTATTTGTAATATGTAAAATATAGTGCAATAGTAATATCAGTTATCAGTTACAGCAAAAACCTTATCATAGGTTATTAAATAAATAAAGATCAAAGTGCAGAAATCATACACATATTTACGTATTACCTTTCAGTAGTATAAAACAGGTTTTGTAACATATCAATATTAAGGAAAATAGATCGCTTCCTTGATTTTAAATTATTCAACCAAAATCAGAAAACGTGATTATTAGCATTTGTGACCTCATTAGCACACAAAAACAGTCGAATAGGGAAGGCAGTTCAAAGTCAAAAACAGTTTTACTAACAGATCAGTTTTCGCGCCAAACGATAAACTCATGTAATATTAAAAGTATTATTGTTCAAAATGTTTTGGTCCAACAACACGTCAAGGCTCTTACCTACAGCCAGCGGTAAGTCTCTTCAAAAGTAATGGTAACTTCTTAAAATAATGCACTTTTCTAACCATGAATTGAAATTTCACTTTCTTGTTCCACTTTATTAAAATACACTAACACAACGAAGTTAGCAACATGAACATTACATAGCTTCTCTTCTTTCAACGTTACTTTTTTACATTGAATAAAAATATTTGTCCAACAAAGGTTTACTGGGTAATTTTTATACATGTGATGTAATTGAATATAAATGTGAATCAAGGCTATTCTTATGGACATATCATTGTTTTAGTTAGTGGCCATATTTCACTACTATAGGTTACTATATTCTTAATAATTGTGTTCTAAATTCTATTTATAAAAAGTGATTTATTCGTCAATGCTGTTATATTACTTTTTTGCCTGAGTACCGTAAATTGGGAGTGTACACCAACAGTTTTTATGTTTAGAAATGTACTGTAAATATCTTAAAAGTATAAAGTCTTTGTCAAGTCCTTATTAAGGTCGATTCAGACACATCAGTCCCGTCATAGTCTCAGCGCCGAACCGATCCTGTTTGGTCACAGAACTATCAACTATCTGACAGCTGGTAAACTGTTTGTCAACTGATGAGTGTGAATGCTGGCAACATTTTGTATTAAAGAATATTTTCTATGACGGATTGTTCGGTTCGGCGCAATCACTGTGACGAGACGTGACTGATGTGTCTGAATTGACCTTAAGACGGTCAAATATTTGAACAAACTGACGTAATGACGTCATACTTCCTTTTTGTTCAACTTTTAAAAATGGATCTGTCTTTTATTAATTAAAATTAAATTTTATTAAATAAATTAATTGTCTTTTTTGCTTATTTATTTTGCTTGTGCTTTATTTACGATTCAAACTTTTTTATTCACAGTGAGAATAAAAAGACTGGGTTGAGTTCGGTTGAGTTTACCGAAAGTACGAGCTGAACATAGCCGGAAATGTCAAACATGAAACAAAAAATTTCGGTTTAGCAGTGTTGGCCTGTTTTTATAATGTATATGTTGTATGCTTTAAATATAAACAGATAAAGCTTTAGAAAAGTACATTTTGATTATATTATTATAAATTCTGCAATTTTTGATTTACATAAAACAAGAATGAGTAAATATTTGTTTCTTTGGAGATTAGTTTCAGATTATTCAATCAACGGTTTCAGCTAATTATTAGAATTTTTTTTTACCACCAGAACCAGATTGCAACAGATGTGTTGCATTTGCAATGAATCTCGAAAGAGACAAATGTTTACTCGTTATTGTTTCATAGAAAATGTTTATTTAATATTACTTTATTTTTTTGTAACAAAACACTGGGAAACAAAAAATGTTCTGATTTTTTTGCAATTTGATGTTTTATGTTTATGCACAAAAATAAATTTATAGATTACATTAGGTATTTTTGTTTATGGTCAGAACAGTATAATAAAACTATCAATTTTCCGAAGGATTATTTTACGATTACTTGACGTATTACAATTTTTTTAATGCACATAATTAAAATTAATATTTCAGGTCCTTACACTCCAGGATGCTCAGATGTTATGGTTGGATATGGTAAAAATGGAATATATTTACGATTATACTATCCAACTAGTAGCCCAAAAACCGCAGAAGTAAGTACACTTAAATGCTGGATGTACCTACCATTAAAAACATTTGTCGTTTTTAAAAATAGTAAATAAAAGAATAGATACCTAATCAGCAAGTTTAGAAGTTTATCACATATGGGATAGATGGCGCCCATGTAATTTTATCAATTTTGCATTTTGAAATCATTCATTTATTTATTTTTAATATTTTTTTGCTTCTTTAAATTCCTCTAGATTTTATTATTTCTACTGGATATTTGATAATTTTAGTTTGATTTTATTTAGTTTCATCTGCATGGATCTTTTTGTTTTTACTACTTTTTCTACGATTAAGGACCGTCCAGGTATGAGCGCATTATATTATATAAGAATAGTTTAACTTATAAGGTTATTTTAATGGACGTTAAATAAAGCTTTTATTTATATATTTTATACAATAAATAAACCATTTTTATTATGCCTCATTGTGATATATATATTTCCACCATGTTATCGACCAAAAATTCTAGAGAATCTGGTAATATTGACTCCCAGACTCTGGCAGCTTGTCAGTATTACTTTATAATACTATATAATATGACTTTTTTCTTTTATATTGTTCTGAAGCTATTTTCTTGTGGCATTGTAAATTAATTACTATTTATAACTGGGAATAAGCCACATTAAAGATAAAAATACATTTATTGACGTTTCAATTTCCAATTCGGAAATCGTTCTCAAAATACAAATAGTAAATTAAACAAATTTTGTTTTTTGTTACATAGTGAAAAAATTCTTCTGATAATTTAATTTTATCTGACTCATTTATATTGACAATTCAGACATACATTATGCATTTTAAAGTAGACGACTTTAAAATGATATTGCCAATATTGTTGAGTTGCGCTCCTGGGACGACTTTACTTATAAGATAGTTCATTCGATTACATGAAATCAACTTTAACTTGAGAATTCCCAGTTATAAATAGTAATTAATTTTTTCTTTTATTTACAACATTTTTAGAAAACATCCAACCAAAGATTTTTATGGTTTCCAACGGATGATACTGAGCTAATGGGACTGGCAAAAGTTTTAAAAATTCCGTATTATATACTGAAGTTTGTGATTTGGTGGAATGGTAAGTTTCTTAGCACTTCTGACAGCAGTCTGGATTATACATAAACATAATAGTTATTAAATACAGTCTACAGTTAAAGTAAAATTGTAATCACTACTAAATAGTAAAATAGTAAAAAACCTAGTACCTAATAGTAATCTAATAACTTGTTCTGAAGACTAAAAGCGTAGTGCTAATGTCTATATTTTTTCTTTTCATATCTATCTTTTGCTATCTTCTCTAATCCTTCTGTTTTTCTTTTTCAAAATTTTTGTGTATAGGAACTAATTATTCATGTGTCTTATATTGTTGATGTTCGGTTTTTTAGGGCATTTGACCTATTCATTTTTTCTTATCATATACCTAATGCCAACTAGCGAAACATAAGACTAAGAATGATTTCGCACTTTCGATGGCCAAAAGATGAAAACATTCAACAATTTAACATACACAGAGAGAAAACAATGAAATTTCTAAGAAGGAAGAAGAGAAAAGCCTACAATAAAATCATAACAATTATAGAAAAATATGCAACTACAAACTGATACAACAGTAATTAAGCCAGCCATAATATACTGCTTAGAAAGCTGGACCACCACGAAACACAATAAACTACTATTAAGGCATTTTGTTCAATGAGTTAAAACATATCCAGGAGCAGATGTCACATCAGACCATAACCCACTAATCGCTAATGTCACGTTTAAGCTTCAACGTATTAGAACACCCCAAAGAACTCCAAAATTAAATGTTAACTGAATTGACTGAATGACGGACTAAATAGTCGGCAGGATGGATCAAAGAAGACAATCAGACAGTCGCAATTACAAAATCATTAACAATGGAATCAAAAAAAAAAAAAAATGATACAGGGCTGCAAAAAAGAAACCACAACACAACTCTTTCAGATAAAAATAAAAATACTATGATAACGACTGACAAAAAGTAAAAACGATGGAAAGAATATATGAAAGAGCTCTTCGACGACGAAAGAGAAGAGGAAACCTACAAGACATACCTTACGAGGACAGAGAAACAAGTATAGAAATTACAATGGAAGAAATATTGTATGCACTAAAGAACACTAGACAATACACGGATGTCCTCTTAAAGCTCCTTAATGAAATTTATCAGTTGAGTGACATACCCAATGAATGGTTGTTCTCAACCATTATTTTGTCTCCCAAAAAAGAAAAATGCTAGAGAATGCACCGCCCACCATACCATAAGCCTGATGTCTCACACACTTAAAATTATTTTAAAGATCATCCATAAACGCATTTACCAGATACTTAATATGGATATCGAAAAAACACAATTTGGATTCCGTAGAGGCGTAGGAAGCTCTCTTTGCATTCAACGTACTAAAATATGAGAGGAGAATCCAATCGGTTAGAGAGCATTATTTAGAACTAAACTCCTTAAGAGATTAATGCCTTAACTAATATGGAAATACAAGATTACATTGAAGATATAATGGACCGAATGAATAAGATAATATCATCATCATCACCCCCGTCCCTTGCTTCCGTTCCGTTTCGTTCCGGTTCTATTACCGGTTTAATGCTCTGTAGGTGATAATTTGTTCTAAATCCGGTACGAAATTCTGCTTGCTCTATTGGCTGGTAGAAATCAAGTTTTTTCTCAAGACAATTTGTTACTATTCTTGTAAGGTGTTTGTATAGGTGACTAAGAAGACTTTTAGGTCTGTACTTTTATAATTCATGAGGATCTCCTTTTTTGTACAATAGAATTCTCTCATCATTATGCTATTTGCCGGGTATATTACTGTCCAATAGGCACACTATTTCTACGGGAAAAGAAACGATAGAGGAGAAATGCTTCTCAATTTCATGAATGAACATAACATGTACTCAATGAACCTAGTAGAAGACGTATCAGTATTAAATCAGTTTGACCTAGGAAGCGATCATAGACTAATAAGAACAAAACTAATAATTAACAAAAAACTAGAAAGAAAAAGAATACATGAAAAAAGATACAAATGGACATCTGAAGAAATCAAAAATAGTGAATTACATACTGAAGAAAACATACTGACACGAATAGAAGAATTTTACACAGAACTTTACAGATCACATCAACAAGATGATGAGATGAGACCAGCACGGAAATTAATAAAAAATGTTGGATCAGAAATAATGCCAAAAGTAACAATTTCAGAGGTAACTACAGCATTGGAAAACATGAAGAGAAATAAAGCTGCAGGAGAAGATAGTATTACCACTGATCTGATATTAGAAGGAGGTAAGGAACTAATTGCAATTGTAACTAAGCTTGTGGACAGTTGTTTACATCAGGGCAAAGTCCCTAAGAGCTGGAACAACTCTAAAGTAATCTTATTACACAAAAAAGGTAATAGTCGAAAATTGGAAAACTACAGACCCATCAGCATACTGTCACACCTGTTTAAAATACTAACCAAAGTCATAACTACTCGACTAACAAGGAAATTAGACGAATACCAACCATATGAACAGGCAGGTTTTAGAAAAGGCTATTCAACTTCCGATCACCTAACCATAACGATCACCATAACGAATACAAGTTTCCAGTTTTCCTAGCATTTGTAGACTACGAAAAAGCTTTCGATACCATAGAACAAACGGCCGTAATAAACGCAATGCAAAATTGTAGAATAGACAGCAGTTATATTAACTTAATAAAAGAAACTATGAACCAAGCTACAGCTACATACTACCTAAATGAAAATAAACACACGAACCCTGTACCATTAAACAGGGAGTCAAACAGGGAGATACTTTATCACCCAAACTGTTCACCTTAGTTTTGGAGGACGTTTTTAAAAACCTAAATTGGAAATATAAGGGAATAAACATCAATGGCCGCTACCTCAGTAATCTACGATTTGCAGATGACATAATCCTGATAGCTACTGACCTACAAGAAATGTAAACCATGCTTTTAGAACTACATACCGAATCTTCTAAAATAGTACTGAAAATGAATTTAAACAAAACAAAAGTCATGCACTCCGAAGACACCGTGACAATAATAAACGATAAAGTTATAGAAAAAGTTGAAGAATATATATATACTTAGGACAAAAATAATCCTAAATAGGGAAATTCAAACTGAAGAAATAAAAAGAAGAAGAAAGTTAGCTTGGGCAGCATTCGGTAAACTGAATTATATACTCAGAAATCAACAAATTCAATTACATCTTAGATCTAAAGTTTTTGATGCATGCATTATTCCGATATTAACTTATGCGGCACAAACATGGACAATCACAAAAAAGAATATGAATATACTTAGAGTCACTCAACACGCGATGGAAAGACAATGCTAGGTATATCACTTATGCAAACACATGGATAAGACAGAAAACCAAAGTCACCGATGTGGTGCAAAAATCATTAAAGTTGAAATGGGAATACGCTGGACATGTAGCTAGGAGCGATTTAAACAAATGGCACAGATCAATTTTAACCTGGAGACCATACCAACACAAAAGACCCAGAGACAGACCTCCTATGAGATGGACAGATGATCTGAAAAGGACTGCCGGGAAAAATTGGCTACAAGTAGCGTACAATAAAAAACAATGGAAAGGAAGACTTGAAGAGGCTTATGTTCAGATGTGGATGAGAATTGCTAGACGAAGAAGAAGAAGAAGAAGGCACATGTTAAAAGGTTTTTTTATTTTCTTAAGTATTCAAGTGCTTCCGATTTTGATTGCATCAGTAACTACACAATCTTCGCCTGGAGATTTGTTATTCTTAACTTTTCTTTGGGCTAGTTTTATTTTGTTTATTGTGATTTCCGGTAGTAGTTCTGATCCTTGGTTAACAATGCCCTTTTTCCTTATTAATGAGATGGTATACAAGTAACAAAAACGCACGAATAGTTATTAAGCTATAGAGAAACATAGACATTGTTTTTCAGGTTTATAGAACGTGGTCTGGAATTGCTTTTTTTTGACGTTTTGTTTACAAATGTTGCAAAATTATCAAAACTGATACGGCCATGCTTGCAATTGTTTTCTCCCCACTTTTTCCACTCACTGGTGTTTTTCGTCGTCATTATCTTCTTTCTCGGGAATATGTTCCTTTGGTAGTTTATGCTTCTAGGTGGTAAGTTTTTGTTAGTTATTGGTATAAGCACTGTAAACTAGAATTACCACAGGTGGTTATTTCATCTGGTATCTGGCAGAATGCTTCTTAGAATTCCTTGTGACTCAATTTAAATTTAACGTTCTGGACCACACATAGTAACTATTACTTTACACTATAAATTTTCATTTGTACTATTTTTTCTGTATATGATAAGAATTCTAAAAGCAAGATTTTATTTATATTTTCAGTCAACCCCACAGTACCAGTACTATATGGCCAGAAAGTAAGGACTGAAGAAGATATGAAATGTATAATTCTGTCACATGGCTTAGGTGGAAGTAGATATATTTACTCAAAAATATGCTACGATTTGGCATCACATGGTTTTTTGGTAGCTTGTATTGAACATAGGTATGTTACTATAAAAATTACTTAAGAACGTATATTTTGATTTTAACATTTAATTTTTGAATTGAACTAAAATTTAGTTTCATTAATTCACTTTCCTTCCTCGCTATTTCTTAACCTTTAATATATTGGTTGTTACTTGATGGAAATTCATTTTATTTAACAAAAAACACTGAAAACTTTGTTTTCAAACTTCCACAAAATTTATTTTAACTATTATCACTACAGCTGTTTCGGCTGATTGCCTTTCTCAAGTGATCTATTTTTGGCATGCGTTTACAATTTATAGTCTCTAATGAAATAGGTTGAGGAGGGGAGAAGTGTTTGTCTCAAGTTGGTCATTCAGAATTATATCTGTGTTTTTTAATTTGTTGATTTCCATAGATTCTAACAAAGATAGCTTAAGGCCTTTATTTTGAATGTGAAGAATTTTAAATTTGTCATTAAAAGAATGATTATGATCTAGAAGGTGAAGTGCGTATGTCGAATCTGTTTTTCTATTATTGAAAGCCCTTTTATGTTCTGCTATTCGTTTATTAAAGTTTCTACCAGATTGACCGATGTAAGTTTTTGGGCAGTCGCCACATTGAAGTTTGTACACACCACTATTTAAGTGTTTTTTATTTTGGCTGTTGTTATTTTTAATATATTTGCATAGGTTGTTATTTGTTCGGAAAGCTGGTGTTATTTCTTTCTTTTTTATGTGTTTGGCTATTTTTGTTGTTATTTTGCCTGTATATGTAATCAAGCAGAAGGTACTGGGTTTTTTTCTGTTGGTGGAAATACTAATTTCAGGGCTTTCTTGTGTAGTTTTTGATTTAACATTTTATTAATTGTTTGTTCGTTGTATCCGTTGTTTACTGCTATTTGCTTAATTATATTTAATTCTGTCTCAAATTTGTATTTTGACATCGGAATTTCTGTTAATCGATGTAACATACTATGATAAGCTGCCAGTTTATGTTGTGTTGGATGGGATGATGAATTGTGTATAGTCGTGTCAGTATGTGTAGGTTTATGATATATGGAGAAGTCATGTTTGTTTTTAAGTCTGATAATTTTTATATCTAAAAAATTTATGGATTGATTTTGTTCTGTTTCTATTGTAAATTCAATATGACTATGAAGTGAATTAATATACGATAAAAATTGGTTGAGTTGCCTGCTAGTTCCTGTGAAACATACCAGTACGTCGTCTACGTATCTCCACCAATATAGAAATTGTTTGAATACGGGATGTTTTGAAATTTTTGTCTCTAGATGGCCCATAAAAATATCTGATAGCAATGGGCTTAGAGGATTGCCCATTATAAGTCCTGTACTGTTATTTGTATACATTTGATTATTAAAATCAAAGTAGTCCTGGTTTATGCAAACTTCAAGAAGATGTAAAATTTCAGATGTAATTATTGGATTTGTACTATTTTGGTCTAAAAGGTTTTTTACTAGAATAAAAGTTTCTGTAGGAGGGATACTAGGAAAAAGATTTTTTACGTCAAATGAAATTAATCTGGAGTTGTTAGGTAATTGAAAATGTTGTATTTTATTAGCTAGTTCTATTGTATTTTTTATGGTAAATTTAGGTGAAAATTTAGTGTGTTCTAAAATAATCTCTAACAGTTTTTTTGAAAGTTTATATGATGGAGCTGTATAAAAAGAAACTACAGGTCTTATTGGGTGATCCAGTTTGTGTAGTTTAATGAAAGAGTATAATTTAGGAGGCTGTGGGTTCATGATATTGAGGTATTTCTGTTCTATTGGATTTAGCATTGATTTTGAATTTTCTAACGCTAGCTTAATTTGTTTTTGATATTTTTCTGTCAGATCTTTGTGTAGTTTCAATATTTTGATTATTTAAGAATTCTATTGTTTTGTTATTATATTCTATTTTATCTATAGCAATAGTAGTGTCGCCTTTGTCTGCTTTTGTAAACACAATGTTGTTTTCTATTGATTTATTTTTAATTGAAATTGCTATTATATTCTCTTTGTAACAGAGAAAGGCAATCAGCCGAAACAGCTGTAGTGATAATAGTTAAAATAAATTTTGTGGAAGTTTGAAAACAAAGTTTTCAGTGTTTTATTGTTAGTTTAATATATTCTCAAACATTTTTTAAAGGGACAAATCAAGCTCTTGCACCTACTATTATGAAAGCCAAGATAACGCAGAAAAAGACCTAAAAACCTACGTTGATTTCGAACACATTCCTTTAGGAGGAAGTCATTTGAGAGAACGACAACAACAGATTCAACATAGAATGGCTGAATGTTTACGTGCAATAAACTTTATTGTGCAATTAAACAGCGGCATTGTTCCTAAGAATGTATTGGATAGTGTACCGAATACTCGAAACAATCAGTTTAGGTTAGAATACTTGGTAGGCAAAATAGACGTAAACAATTTAGTTATGATGGGTCATTCTTTTGGTGCAGCTACGGCGTTAACAACGTTTTCCAAGTCGCCGCATTTGAAGTAAGTATTGAAACACATTTGAATAGGTACATGTTATTTTTTAAATATTAAAATTATTTGTTATTCATTTAATTCGACAGGGATTAAAAGTTACAATCATTAATCATTCAAAAAACAAAATCGTTAACTTTAAAATTAAAAATTATTCTTTAATCCTGTGTCCTCAAATACACTGCTCAACAATTGAAGTGGATATTAGAAAAATATCTATGCTAAACTACATTCATTTTACAAATTCCCAACTGTCAACAAACGCACGTGTAAGCCAACCAGGGTCGTACTGAGGTGTATCATCTGATTTTTAAAAATATTTACTTTTGAAACTATAAGTGTAGGAATTTCTTGAAATTTAATCATTATGAGCAAAATTTAATGTCCAATTGAAGAACAATGTGCTAAAATAACATTTATTGACCGAGAGATACATAACAAAGTGAACATTTTGAATAAAGTAGCATTGTCATAAGTTTATCAAAGCATAAAAACATACCATTTAAACTATTCAGAGTCTGAATAGTTTAATGTGCTGCTGTCTTCGTCTGTATTTATTATTATGGGTTCGATATGGTTCTCTATTATATTGTCCAACTTCCACATTTTGGACTCGACTTTTTGTTGAACGTGTTGCACACATTTCTACCACGTAGTTGGACTAATATTATTTATTGCATAATACAAAATATTTTTCATATCTGCAAATTTAAAAGTAGTTTTTTTGGTTCTGCTCAGGTGAGCTCAATCATATATCAGCCTTAACACTACTTTGTTTTGGCTTTTTGCCATCTCATTAATCATATATTTATTATATTGTCCCTTATGTTCCTTAACGATAGCCAGCAGTTGCACTCTTAACATGCAGTCCTCAAACCCTATATTTTTTTATTTCAGCCACGCTTGGATGTCAGCTTTTCTAGAAGCAGTAGTTGTAATTTTTTCCAATTTTTTGGAATAATAAGACGCGTTGTCCAATACGATGATGGAGTTGTCTTCTAATCGTGGCAGTATATTTTTGAATCAATTTTCGAAAGATTTTCCGTCCATCTCTTCATGGTAGTCCCACTTTTTTTTATTCAAACAGCCCTTCTGAAACAAACTCATCTTCACTGCCAACGTGACAGAGTATTAGTCTTTTTCCTGAAAATTTTATTATTTTAAAATTTACTTGAAGTGAAAAAACACATAAGTATTTATTCAGTTCATCGGCTGTATCAGTGCTTGACATTTTTGATATTCTATTTATAATAACTTAATGTCCTTACTTGATTGAGAGAATGTCAAAATAGCCTAGGGAAAAAAATATGTATTGTAATAAAACCAACATCATCGAAAATATCATTAAAGTTATGAAACTGCATTCTGTATACTTTTTTAAGTCCAGAAATATTTCATTCACCTACGATACAACCTCCCCAAAGAACAGCTTGGATTGACATGTCAGGAATTGGATAAACGGACTAATTCTAAGCAACCTTTAGTGCTATAGAATTTTTTCACTGAGTCAATACTTTTCGAGTTATTTGCGAGTAAACATGTTCATTTTTCAACAACAAAAACAAAAACTAAAAAGTTTGTGTTGTTTTGTACTATTTTGTGTTGTTTTTTCGCCCAAGAAGAGTGAAAAAATTATCACGTTAAGTAAACACACTTCCATAAGGAGAAAGGTATCGCAAGAACGTGTGGAGTGAGTCAGGGGGTAGTAAGCCAGATTTTAAAGCGTACACGAGAAACGGAAACAATTAAGGGAATAAAGAGAAAAACAACACAAGAGCTCCAATAACATCTAGCAGCATCACGTGTAGTAATTCATGACCACTGTTTGGAGAATTGTAGAAGGTAATACGTCCACAGAAAAAGCAGCTTCTATTGTGGGCTAAAAAATACTTTAATTGAACTGTAGACAACTGGCGAAAAGTCCTATTTGCATACGAAACTCACTTTATAGTTCAGGAACAGAGCTCGAAATTCGCCAGGAAGTCCAACAATGAAAACCTTGCACTATTTCATATCGATCAAATCGTAAAACATCTAGTCAGAAAAATGTTTTGGGGACGTTTTTCATACATGGCCGTTCGATCTTTCTTACTAATCGAAGGCATGATGAATAGCCAAAAATACAAATTCATGTTGGATTAGCGTTTGGACACAGAACTCTAAAAATGTCAGCCCCAAGAGGGGGCGATTCTTCAACAGGACTCTGCTCCCTGCTACAAGTCAAAGCGAATGATGTAATTTTTAAAAAATAAGAATGATGAATAAGAATAAAAAATTTAAAAATAAGAATTGATGTTTTAGATTTGCCCAGTAATTTGCCAGACCTTAACCCCATTGGCATTTTATGGGCCATTTGAAAAGCTAGACTACACAAAATCGACTGTACTACAAAAATAAAAATGACCGAAGCAGTCATTCAGTTTTGGTTTCGAGATAAAAAAATATCTGGGAACTGTCAGAGCAGAACTGATAAAAGCAGTGATTGCAGCCGAAGAGAGACATATTTGGTACTAAATGATGCAAGTTTACCTTTATTTTTGGCAAAATAATTTTTTTTTGTAAATAAACTGTTTTTCATTAAAACAGTCGATGGATTCATTATTTCGCACAGTACTGTACCTGGATTTATCACAGTCCCGAGAGAAATCTAATTTTCCCGAGCTCTAACGAAGTTAACCTATAACGAATAGTACAAACATTAAAAACTTCTTCTTCTTCTTTTGGCATCATAACCCTGGATGGGTCTTTGCCTGTCTGGCTATGTCCTTCCATTCAGATCTCTCTTGTGCTCTTCTTCTCCATTGTCTTATGTTCATTATTCTCAGGTCGTCTTCCACGTCATCCAACCATCTCGTTCTGGGCCTTCCTTTTTTTCGCCTTCCTATGGGTTTCCATTGTAACATTTCTTTGTTGTTTTTGCATCGTTTTGTCTCTGCACATGTTCCAGCCATGACAGTCTTTGACTTTTCATAGATCTTACAATGTCATAACCTTCATTTAACTCATTAACCTCGTCGTTTCTCCTGATTCTCCATGTGCCATCTTCCTCTTGTACCGGGCCATATACTTTCCTCAGTATTTTTCTCTCGAATGTCCTGAGTTGGGCTTCATCTTTTTTCGTCATTACCCAAGTTTCACATCCATAGGTTACTACGGGTCTAATCAGTGTTCTGTAGATAGTCATTTTGGTTCTTTTGTCTGATAATTTCGATGTCATCAATCTTTTATTAGCATAGTATGTACGATTCCCGCTGGAAATACGTGCATTAATTTCGCAACTTACGGAGTTGTTCTGATTGATTTCTGTGCCGAGATATGTAAAGGCATCCACTCGTTCGATAGTATAGTTGTCTATTGTGATATTATTTTCATTGTCAGTTATTCTTTTGACTGTCATATACTTCGTTTTTGCTTCGTTCATTTTCAGACCTCTTTTTCTTGCTTCAGAATCAATTTGTTTGAACACTTCCATTAGTCGTGGCTTATTCTACTAATGATGGCTACATCGTCTGCATATGCAGTAATTTGTAATGATTTGGTGTTTATATGGCCGGTTATATTGGTTTTTCTGATGACTGCCTCAAGAAGTAGGTTGAATAGCATGGTTGATAGGGCATCTTCCTGTCTTACTCCCATGTTGATGTTAAACAGGGGAGTCAGTTCTCCATCCACTTTGACTGCGGATTTTGAACCCTGCAACGACATTTTTGTGAGGCTGATGTATTTCTTAGGTATACCTAGATTACAACGGTCTTCCAGCATTCTGTCTCTTTTCACACTATCAAAAGCTTGTTTAAAGTCTATATACATATTATATAGGTCTATGTCGTATTCATAAGCTTTTTCTTGTATCGTTCTTAGTATGAATATGTTATCTGTAGTGGCTCTATTTGGTCTGAATCCATTTTGATAATCACCAATTATATTTTCGGAGTATTCTAATAATCTATTGTAGATTATACCAGAAAGAATTTTGTATATTACATTTAGCAATGTAATTGGCCTATAATTCTGGCATTCCTCTTATCAACTTTTTTATATATTGGCTGTATGAGGCCAACTGTCCATTCCTCTGGCATTTGCTCCTTCGTTCATATTAATGTTATTAGGTAATGGATTCTTTCCCAGAGTTCGGATCCTCCATACTTTAATAATTCTGCCGAAATTCCGTCCGTTCCTGGTGCTTATTGTTTTTTAGTTTATTTATTTTCTGAACTACTTCTTCGTAACTCGGATTTTCGATGTGCAGCTCCACCGTATAATATATTGTCTCGTTCTGATCATTTTCGTTGTCTGCATTTAGATTTTCTTCGAAATATTGTTTCCATCTCATTATAATTTTTTGCTTCTCTGTTAGTAGTTCTCCGTCCTTGTCTTTGCATATCGTTAGTTTTGGTCTAAATAACTGTGTGCTTTCTTTTATGCATTTATAGAATTTTCTGCTTTCGCGTCTGTTGTTATGCTTTACGATTTCTTGTACTTGTTTTTTCATAGCCTCTCTTTTCTTTCTTCTGCATATTCTAGTCGCTTGTATTCTTTTTTCGTTATAAATCTCACTGCTATTTCTTGTGTTTCTTTGAAGTTGGTTAAGCCTAGCTTGCCTTTTTCCTCTACTGCAGTTCTGCATTCATCATCATACCATTCCGCATTTCTTTGCCTTTTGGCTTTTCCGACAGTTTCCTCTGCTGACTCCGTTGTAATTGTTTTTAATTGTCTCCATTCCTCCTCTGCAGTATCTTCCTCTCTAGTTCGGTTAAGTTTTATTTTAGAGCATTTCTGTAATCTTGCCTCTTTGTTACGCTTTTGAATCTTTCGACATTCCATTTTTGATTTGAATATTTTTCCCTTTTGTTACTGTCGCTATTTTCTGCCGTAATTTTGCCCCTACAAGATAGTGATCTAAGTCAGAGTTCGCCCCGCGATACGTTCTGACATTAGTTATGTCTGTTGCCCATCTTTTTGAGATGAGTATATGGTCAATTTGATTGGCTTCGTTAGTTCCTGGTATTTTCCATGTTCCTTTATGGATATCTTTTCTCTGGAAGTTAGTACTGACAACTACGTAATTATTTGCTGCTGCGAACTGTGCCACCCTGAGTCCATTTTGACTGGTTTCAGTGTGCAAACTGTATTTCCCAAATATATTTGCAAACGTTTATTCTTTCCCCAGTTTAGCATTAAAATCGCCTAACGTTATAACAGCATCGTGTCTTTAGATTTTATCACATACATCCTGTAGTTCTCCGTAGAATCTTTCAACGTCTTCTTCATCAGCCTCTTCCGTCGGTGCATATAAATTAACCATTGTCACGTTATGAAATTTACCTTTAAATCTTATGGTGAAAATTCTATCTGATATTGGTGTAAATGCGATAATGGCTTTCCGCAGTTTTTTAGTTACCATAAACCCTACTCCTCTTTCACCTTGTCTCATTTCATTTCCGGAGTAGTATAGTGAGAAATTATTCTTGAGAAAAACAAGAGTTGGTCATACAATATGAAAGTATTAACATCTGCGACGAAATATTTAGTGGTGGTAAGAGACCAAACACCAAACTACACAAAAGAATTATTAACCGCGGAATGATCAAAAAAATCTCGAAATTTAAGTATCTGGGAATAGAAATATTCACTAGAAACGATGACATAGATTATTGATATAGTTATTCCTCTTTTCAGGCAATGTATTGTATTGGACCCATGGATGTTTCCTATTAAAGATGATGACTTGCATGATAAAATTTTCGGGAAGCCTGTACTTTTTATAAACACGGAAACGTTCCATATAGCCACCAACGTTAACGCTATGGCTAAGTTTATGACAAACCAGAAGTTACAAATGTATACCATCAGGTAAGAGTTTTAATATTAGTATTTATTCAACTTATTATTATTATTATTATTATTATCAGTTTGCCATCTCAGTCTTTCCTGATTTACGCTTCTATTTACAGGTGGGTACTAAATAAATGTGAGGTTTCTTTTTTATTGGGGTAGATTTAGGATTTTTGACAAAGTTACTTGTTTGTAATATTACCGCTTTTTGTATGGTTGAGTATGTTTCTATGCGTATATTGAGTTTATGTAGGTTTTGTGTAAGGGAAGACGGTGTGAGTTCTGTGGGGGACATAAAGGGTAGGATAATGATTTCGTCTTGTTTCCATATTTGCTTTATATCCAGTGTTTTTCAGACTGAACTATCCACCTTAAATATCTTTTGAACTTGTAATTTTTAGGAAAAGAGCAAAAACACGTCAATTAATATTTGAAGGGGGAGAATTATGTCTTATTTAAACTTGCTGGAAAAGGCACTCTCTCAAACCCCCGTATCATTCCATAATTTTTTAAAATTACTTCCACCTTTTTTATTTCATATTTGGAGTCTACTCTTTGTACTGATTTTCAAAAATGATAAAAGTGATTGGTTTATGAGAAAAGCAGAAAAACTGGATTGAAAAAAAATATTTTTTTAATAATTTTATTACAAACTTTTAGAATAAATATTTCACTACCTATCAAAAATGTTCACAATAATTGTTTAAAATGACTGCCATTCACATCCATACAATCGTACAATCTCTATCTCTATATTCGTCATAAATCATCCAGAAATTCTGGTTGAGTAGCATAAATTTTTGTTTTTAAATACCACCATAAGAAGAAGTCTAGGGGTGTTAAATCCGGTGATCTAGGTGGCCGATCCATTATCTGGTAGAGCAAAATGTAGAGGAGTTCCTTCATATTACAATACAACCAAATCTTCATCATTTTCTACTATTTTTTTAAAACGATTAACCACTTGCCTAAGTAACTCAAGTTACGATGTACCATTGAAGTTTCCAGTGATAAAGAAGGGTCCGATAATGTGATTCCCTAAGATACCACACCATAAGTTTAACCTTTGAGGATGCTGTGTGTCAAATTCACTCACAATATGTGGATCACTATTAGCCCAGTATCGGCAATTATGTCTGTTCAGCAAGCCATTTAATGAAAATGAGCATTCGTCTTAAAAGCAAATATTGCTTAATAATGTGGATTGTTAATGATACATTGTGTCATTAATTCGCAAAATTTGAGACTACCATGTAAAGTAAGTGATGGTATGTAGAGTTCTTGTTCTGTGCTTTATTGCATATCCTTGTTTTGCGCTGTTGAGTACATGTGGAAGGGGTTGTAGAGATATGCAGAACCATAATGCACTCAGGGAATCTCGTTGGAATATTTCTCTTCTTATGTGTATTTCTTCTGTTCCTATTGATTGTGTAGGTTCGGTGTGTAGATGTATTTTTATTCTCCATGAGTTCATTACGTGCTTTAAGAAATATATTAGTGTATTGGGGATTTTATATATTTCTAATTGTTGAGGAAAAGAATGGCCGTAAGAGTGTGACAAGAAATAGATGTATTGACCCCAAAATAGAATTTCTCTGTACATAAAGAGGAGCCTCTGTACACTTATGACTTGTTCTCCAATAAATAGAAATTGGATGGCATTTTCAGAAACAGAACAAGAACTTCTTCTTCTTCTTCTTAACATGCCATACACCAAAGTGCGTAGGCGACTATCTCATTACTAGAATTCTGTTCTTGGCGGCGTGACACAGCTCACCTGTATTGTGTATTCCTGTCCAATCTTTAATATTCCTTAACCAGGATAATTGTTTGCGGCCGGCTCCTCTCCTACCTTCGATCTTCCCTTGTAGGATTAACTGTGGTATTTCATATTTTGCTCCTCTCAATATGTGCCCAAGGTAACCAATATTGCGTTTTTAAATTAATTCAAAGAGTTCTAAAATCGTAAAATAGTTTCAATTTATTTTCTGCCTTTTAAGAATTTTTTTCTTGAAGCCATGTTATTGTTGCTTCTTAAAAGGCAGAAAATATTGATTTTTCACGTTGAGAACCCCTATGAATAGCTCTTCTGACGAGACCTATTAGGTCGAAATACGTATCAAGAGATACATAGGATTTGTTTGCGTGAAATCAAATATTTGCTGCCTTTTCTCATTTCTCATTTCAAAGAGTTCTCTTTCCACGCCGGCTCTATTAAGGACGTCATCGTTTCGAACTCTATCCACCCAAGGTATGCGCATCATTCTTCTCAATGACCACATTTCAAATGCTTCAAGTTTGTTGATAGATGTTTTTTTAAGTCCACGTTTCCATGCCATAAAGCAAGATGGACCATATGTAGCACTTGACCATTCTGTAGCGTATTTCGAAGTTTAGGTGTTGATTACATAGGAGCGGTCTGAATTTCACAAAAGCTTGTCTTGCCATTTGTATTCGGGTTTTTATCTCGTGTTGTGGATCCGATTGGTCATTGATTATGGTGCCAAGGTATTTAAAAGTTTTCACGCGATTTATACGATTGTCACCTGCATATTATCGGGTTTTCTGGAGGGTTTCTGCTAATGACCATATATTTCGTTTTCAAAATGTTGATTTTGAGGCCATATTTTTTACCTATGCTATTCACCCTATCAAGCAATAACTGCTGATCTTCCAAATTATCAGTTATAATCACTGTGTCGTCCGCATAGCGTAGGTTGCTAATTGGTATGCCGTTCACCTTAATGCCTAATTCCGTATCTTCTAATGCTTCCGCAAATATATTTTCAACATATAAATTAAAAAGCATCGGAGAGAGTATGCAGCCTTGGCGGACACCTTTCCGGATTTCAAATTCATCGTATATTGGTCTTGATCAATCCTCACCTTTGCCATTTGGTTCCAGTATAGATTCTGAATAATTCTGATCTCCTTCTGGTCAATGTTGGCCCTATGTAGTAGTTCCATCATGATATCATGTTTAACATTGTCAAATGCCTTCTCGTAGTCGATGAAGGTGAGGTAGACATCTTTTCGTTGATCTAAGCAGTTTTGTATTAAGGTGTTCAAACATAAAATTGCCTCTCTTGTTCCTAGTCCTCCCTTAAAACCGAATTGTGTTGACCCGCTAAGTTCTTCTAGTATCTTGTACATCCTTGAGTGTAATATCCTAAGGAAGAGTTTCAACAAGTGACTCATTAAACTGATTAAGCGGTGTTCATTGAATTTTGTGGCATTAGCTGTTTTTGGGATCATCACAAAGGATGACTGCAGCCATTCTCGTGGAATCTAACCAGTATAATAAATTCTATTGAACAGCCTTACCAAGATTTCGATATTCTCCTCGTCTAGTAGTTTTATTGCTTCTATATTAATTTCGTCTGGACCTGTTGCTTTATGCATCTTTGTGGTTCTAACTGCATATTCTATTTCACTTCGCATTATTGATGGCCCTGATAAGTTTTCGGAAGGAAGTTTGCGCGTTGGTTGTGTTGGTCTTTCGTCATTAAAAAAGGCTTTTTGCGTATTCTTTCCACGCCATTGCTATCTCCTCTTCTGACTCTACGTATTCATTTCTGTCGTTGCGTATTCTTGTTCTGTGGTGGCTTTTGTGTATTATTCGATATTTCTTTGATCTTCTTCTGTAGTCCAAAACTATCTCCTTTTTCCTGCAATTGTTCTATTTCGTTGCACATTAGGTCCATAATAATTTCCATTAGGTCCATAACAAGAACTACTGACCACAAATTCAAAGTTTTTTATTACACCACTTGTATCTTCTTGTGTCTCAAATTTCAAGGCTCTAGTGCTTTTCCTTCAAGATTTATCGCACCAACAAAGGAAGTTATCAAAGCCTCTGGGGATGATAGATAACCAAATGTAAACATTTTGTATGCATCGTTTACTTGAAGGATTTTTATGTACTGGCCTAAAGTGCGCTTGCATACGCTGCAGTCACTCAAAAGATTTAATTTTAGAAAATTCTTTCAAGCATTACATAAACTAAAATAGTTTTGAATAGAACATTCGATTTATCCCAAATCAATTAAATACACTGCTCAATAACAAAAATCGCGAATACATCAAGTTTTTGGACGCACTCCAGAGGGACACCGAAAGAAGTAAAAAGAAACCGGCTGTAACACAACTGTTTACTATCTTAATAATCCTATTATTGTTTTTCTATGCTTCTTGTTATTTATATTTACATTTTACTTTTTTTTAGGCAAACTACACATGAAAATCAGACTGATAGCGTTCTGGTCGCGGGATATTGGCTAAACCTTTTTATGAAGAAACTTGATCCACACGAAGCCTTGAAAATCAATAATGCGCTAATTTTTATGTTTTTAAATGAGCATGTCGGTGTTCCAAGGAACGTCGAAACTTTTAACAAATATCTCGAAGTGAAAAGTGATCTCTATGAAAAAGGATTAACGAAGCCTTGGCAGCAGTAGTTATAATCTTTTCAATTGTTCTTATTAAATGTTACAGGTTCTAATAAATATTTCGGCATACATATTGTTTAATTTGAACTGAATTTAAGCCTATAGGAAAATAAAATTTGCCTTGTGTGACCAACAAGTATTTAGATTAATATTTTATCGGAGAAAATTAGATAAATTAGAATAGACAAATTAAAATGGACATGCCAAGGAGGGCCTTACGTGTAGAAGTGGACAGTCAAGGGCTGTTAATAGAAAAAGAAGACAGTACAAAAACCTGTTGAAATATATTGTGTTTTATGGGAATTAACTACAATCTTTGTATGACGTGACGTAACTCAGTGACGTGTTTTTTTAACATGTTACCCTGATCTGTGCAGGTTTGAAGTAGCTGATGAAATAGTTTTTATAAGTAAACATTTTTTAATTAATTATTAGTTTGAGCTCTTACTGTGTGGAATTCCATTACATAAAATAAAACTCTCGACACCATAAAAATTCCAGTTTATTATAAATTAACTCTCTCTCTTCCGATACCCATTGCAATATTGACTTGTGGTATTGTTCTTGAATGAGCTGGCTAATAGGTTTATAATTGTAGCAATTACCATTGATATTTTATGTTGTTTTAGTCGATTTTAGTCAGTCATTGTTGGAATTTGTTCTACTTATTATTTTTTGTTGTGAATAACTAATTGTTTTATTTAATAAAAAAAATGCCGGGAAAAACGATAACAGGAGAAATGCGACAATGTGTAGTTCATTTATTGGAGTATTTTAAAAAGGAAAAAGAAAACAACGGACTTTTGCTTTCGTTATCATCGGTACATGAACGAGTAGCGGACGCTTTGAAAATCAGTATTCGCACAGTGACAAGAATAAAGAGTGAATACAAGACAGGGGCAGCTCTTACTACACCAGGAGAGTCACGTAATGTACAAAAAAAAAGACTAATGATGTCAGCTATACTATAAAGGAGAGATTAGAAATGTGCTGTATGGCATGAAAGCAAAAGGAAAACACGTTACAATTAAAGTTCTAAATACACAATTAAGAAACAAGCATCTCTATGACGGTTCTGATACAAGTTTGTAGCGTCGTATGAAAAATTGTGGGTTTTCATACAAACTAGAAAATAGTAGACGAGTGCTATGTGAGAAACCATGTATTGTCTCCAAACGACTGTATTTTTTGAGGCATTATATGAAAAATTTTTTAAGTCCAAGCCCACTTCAGTTCGTTTTTTTATAGATGAAACATGGATATTCCTAAAAGGGGCATATAAACGTACTTGGCAAAATGACTGTGGGAAAAGCATCAGAAAAGGACACGAAAATACAGGTAAACGCTTTGTTGTTTTACATGCCGGAAGTAGGCAAGGATTTGTTAAAGATGTTGGATTACTGTTTTCTACGAAATCGAAGAGTGCAGACTATCATGATTCTATGGATAAAGAGTCTTTTAAAAAGTGGGTCTCCGAAAAGCTGATACCAATGTTGGAGGAACCATCTCTAATTATTGTGGATAATGCCTCATACCATAGCTCTTTAATAGAAAAGTTACCGAATGCCAGTTGGAAAAAATCGGACTTACAAGAATGGTTACGAGCGAAAAAATTAATTTTTGACGACGATTTAGGCAAGATAGAGCTATTGAGTCTTTGTCGCCAAAATAAACCACAAAATACCAGGTACGTTATAGACGAGCTACTCCAAGAACATGGGCATCAGGTTTTGAGATTGCCTCCATATCACTATCAATATAATCCGATTGAGTTGGTCTGGGGCATTTCTAAGCAATATGATCGTCATATTGGAGAACATGGACGTGAAGTTAAAGAAGTAATAGAAATACTTAACAAAAAAGTGATCGGCCAATGAAGTCATTAAAATTTTCAATATGGTGGCACTTAAACCTGTTTAAAAAGACGTTTATTTTGACGTTTAGATTTCCACCTTACAATATCCTTCAATGTATAAAGTCGTCTCGGGGGAAGTCTAAACCAGGTGTTAGCAACGACAAAGTCGGTCTCCTATTCTGCTTTTGCCAACTTTGGCATTAAAATCACCCATGATAATGGTAAGCTCGTTCTTCTTGCTATATTTTAGTGCTTTTTGTACAAGTGCGTAGAACTTCTCGATATACTCTTCTAGCTTTTCTGATGTTGGAGCGTAAATTTGAATGATGTTCGTATTAACGGGTCTTCTTTGCAGCTTCAACAGAATGACTTTATCAGAGAGAGGTAGCACGCTGATCACAGCCCCAGCGACCTTTTTGCTCAGAATCAGCGCTACGCCATTCCGCTGGAATCACCAAACGGTAATTACGGTGTAATAATATACACGCGGCGAAGACAGGAAAGGACGAGTCAAAGAAATAGAAATTGAATTATTACTTGGTCACAGGAGAAAATAGGTCTGTCTCAGATCAATACTCCAAGACCGGGTACGGAACTACCACTAGATCAACACTCTAACAGAAACAGTTGGCCTTCAGTCGATACTAGGGCCAGTGGAGTTGTTATCATATCAACAATCTGACGAAATTCTGGACTGAAAGAGTAACAATTTTTCGGTCTAAAGTAAAGTTTCAACATCACATCATATTCGGAACGAGCATGAATACAAAGGTATTCTATCTTTCTCATGAAACTTTCTTTCTATTTATGTAATAACATCGATAGGGACCACCGTTTTATTTTTATCAGTCTTTACTTTCAGTATATTAAACCGTTAAAATTTCGGTCATAATTCCTGTTATTTTGTAAAGATAAGACTACCAAAGAGAATTGAAATACTATTATAAAAAAATATACCTCAATCAACCATGGGAGCTTATCGTCTATGCCTTGCCTAGCTCATTACCTCAAGTGTGAGTTCGTATTGTCTTAAACTAGGAATGAAACCTGAACCCTTAGTTGATAGCAAATAAAAAAATGATTTAACTAATCATTTTTATTTAACACATAAAAAATAATATTTAAATAGCAAAAACAACCTTACCTTATGCTTTACATTAAATACATTTGAACGATACTTGTAGCATCGATGGGCTGCTTGCTTCTAAATATATGTTGCCTGCAGATTATTTGGGCAGGTCCTGTTGCCGGCTCCAAAGCATGTGAGTAGGTCTTGAAGAAAGCTGTTTAGGCCCACATCACTTCATAAAGTATTTTCAATAAAATGTTTTAGAAATATCCCATAAAATAGAATATTAACGAGCCTGTATTAGAAAAATATCAAAGGGGGTTAACTTCCTTGCCAATTATCTTACAAAAATTTTAATTAAACAAATAGCAAATGGCAAGTATAAAATGAAATATAATTACTATTAAAATTAGCTAAATTCTGTAAGATTCCTACATGCACAAAATTGAAAACGTGGCTTTAAAGGAAGTGAGGTTACGAATATTGAAAATGCTGTTAGAATTATAGAATATAAATTTCAATGAAAGTACTCACCCCAATGTGAATTCTGCAGACCATAAAATTAAGCTTATAATAATTCCTACCTTCTTTTATAAATTTCAATTACTGACAAAAAAGAATATTTCCACTACGAGATGTGATTGACAGAAAGTAAGTGGGAGATATGCCTATGCTTTTGTAGAAAATTTCATAGGGGAATACCAAGCCGGATTCAGAAAAAATAGATCGACCATAGATCAGATTTTTACTCTCAGGCAGCTGCTTGAAAAAGGATAGAAATTCAATAAAACCATTCATAATCTCTTCATAGATTTCCGACAAGCATACGACAGCATTAAAAGGGATCAGATGTGGAATGCAATGGCAGAACTTTCAGTTCCAAAAAAACTTATCCAGCTCGTTAAAGTTTGTGTAAATGGCTGTAGATCTAGTATGCGGTTAGGTAACAAGCTCTCAGAGTCGTTTGAAATAAACAGTGGACTGAAACAAGGAGACGCGCTGTCACCTCTTCTTTTTAATATAATCCTGGAAAAAGTAGTAAGAACCGCACACATTTGAATAGAACTACTGACAGTAAATGGACCAAAATTACTACTAGCATACGCGGATGACATTGACATTGTAGGAAGTACCGTCACCAATGTAAAAGAAACCTTCAATAAATTAGAGAGAGAGGCAAAAAATACCGGTCTAAGGGTCAAAGAAGAGAAAACCAAATATATGTGCATTAACAGACAAAAGAGACGAGATAGAATAGGACAAAATGTAACAATAGACCCCTATAACTTTGAAAGAGTGGAGAGTTTTAAATATCTCGAAGCGACTATCACCACAGATAACGATATCACGGAAGAGATAAAAGGGAGAATTCAGGCAGCAAACAGATGTATGTATAGCCTCCACAACACTATTAAATCCAAGAGCCTAACACGAACATCAAAAATCAGGATATATAAAACAGTAATTAGACCGGTGCTCATGTATGGGTGTGAGACGTGGACCGCTGACAAAAGCAATGGAAAATAAACTCAGATGCTTTGAGAGAAAAATCCTCAGAAAGATCTTCGGTTCCTATCACGATCCGAATACTAACAAATACCGAATGAGAACACAATGCCGAGGTCAAACAAATGTGTAGTGCTAGCGACATAGTCCAAGAGATTAAATCCCAACGTCTAAGATGGGCTGGCCATGTTCATAGGCTCCCTAATAACCGCCTTACCAAGTTAATCTGGGAAGAAGTCCCGACAGGGAGAAGGCCCTTAGGACGTCCACGAATGCAATGGAGAGATAATATATGGTCAGATTTGAGAACAATGGGGCTACCCACTGACTTAAACATCATGGACGACCGTTCGAGATGGAAGCAGGTTGTGCAGTCAGCCAAGAACCACCCCGGGTTGTAGTGCTACCAGAAGAAGAAGATATGCCTATGATGGAATTAGCTCTTCTGTCAACATAGAACAGAATATTTACTAGGGGACAGAAAGAGATAGGGTGAATATTTATTCTACCGAAAAGAAAGAGAGACGAAAGAAAGAGAGAGAGAGAGTGAATATTTATTCTACGGGACAGAAAAAGAGA